TGGCATCGCTACTAGGAGCAAGGACGCTACTAGGGGCTCCTGGCCTCAACTTTGCACATTTCATGCGTCGCATTTCCACCGCCCACCAAGGCATGGGCCAGTTCATCGCCGAGCTCCCCTATGAGATCCCCTTGAGCACAGTCACTGAGTTCCGACAAAAACAAAAAATGGATTCGTTGCCCAAGTGTAGGTCATTGAAGCGAAGCAACATCAACAGGAGATTTTCGGAGCTCTGGTGAACCCAGAGGGCAACGGCATCAGGCAAAGATGTCACTCTTCCGTTTCAAGTTTGGCTTTTTGGGATCAACAGATGATGGTGAATTGATTTGGGGCCCAGGGGAAACTGACCCTAATGCAGGATTTCATTTCATGTTCATTTGAAGACATCTTTTCTTGGTTGGAAACATCTATGTGGGGGGAGTGCCAGAATCATCGTCCCTTGCTCCAACAGCACACGGTCGCGCGCTCCCTGCCAGCACCACTGGACCGAGGTGAACCGCCAGTGCAGCAGCAGCTTGCAGGCCACCGCCACCATCGCAGCCTTCATCAAGGCGAGGGAGATCGATTTGGCGACTGCCCCAAGAGCGCCTGAAATCAAGCGCCAACGATTCGGAAAAATAACCATCCATTCTGATCATGTAGACTCCGTCGACCGTCGACCGGCAAGCCTTTTGGCGCATTCCTTTTTTCGTCGCGCACGCCGCGCCAGTCTGGTGTCATTGATGTGGGCCTCGCGGGCGGTGTGGAGAACATGAGCATGTGCCTTGGAGACGACTTGGACCTCCAACGGCAACGGCCGGGCGTTGTGACGCAGTGACAACTGCAACTTTTTTGCCACTTTTGAAGGTTTCATTTTACATCTTTTTACTTTTTTTTAACACTCTTATTCAATCTCAGAATGTATTGAAGTGATCGTCAGCTCACTTTGTTTTTACCTTTTGTAGCAAAATAGACTGCAATCGAATTCGTTTTCATCAATTGGGGACATCTATGCAGTAGATCCCCGTAAACAGCGCCATGCTGGATGTTCCTTCTGGTAGATCTCTGGCAGGTCGTCTTCGTTCGTGCAACCAACGACCAACAACCAACCAAACGCCCTGCTCCTCGCTCAAACACCTTCCTTGCGACGACTCGCATGATCAACGGCCCTGAGGTTCCCCATGATGGCCACCATCGACATCACCAAGCTCTCCAAGGATGTCTTGGACTACCCGGATGCCGAGGCCCGGATGCCGAAGTCGAGAACGAAAGTCGAAGTCGGTCGGTGCCAGTGGCTGACCAACAGTGCGAAAGGGAAAAGAGTCCACAGTATGGAGGAATGTCCTCGACATGGAGGTTGGAGGTCTTGCAAGTTTCTCGGATGTTAAAGAGTAGCATGGGTAGGATATTGTTGGAGTCTTTCTTCGTCGACCTCTTTTCCAGCTCCGTCTCCCAGACCTCTCTTCAGTGTTTCACCAGCTGCCCCTGCCCGCCACAGTCCGAAACCCCGCCGCGTCCGCTCCACCCCCAGGCCTGCTTGCTGCCCATGGGCCTCACCAGCGAGAACGTGGCGGCCGCCTACGGCATCCCGCGCGATCGCCAGGACGCCATGGCCGCCGACTCGCACCTCAAGGTGCCGATTGGAACATGACGCAGAAGAAGAAGAAGAAGAAGAAGAAGAAGAACAAGAACCGAGGAGCGCCCCGAACGTAGCTTCTTGATACTACTAGTAAGGCACTTGTTACTAGAAGCGATGCACTTGTTCCTAGTAGCTTCTTGCTCCTAGTAGTAAGGCCAGGAGCCCCGAACGTAGCGTCCTTGCCCTTGCTACTAGTAGCGATGCCCTTTGTTCCTCAAGGCGCAGAAAACTGGAGCGGTGGGGTGGTGAGCGAGCGGAGCCGCGTCTCGCGTGTTGAGCGTGCTTCAGTGCGCGAGTGACTTGTTGGGGGGGGGACCTGGGTTGAGCGTGCTGATTTCTGGAGACTTCGTCAGTCTTCGACTTCGAACGCCAGGCATTTGCCTGTTCTCTTCTGCGTTTGACATGCTATTTGTGAGTTTAGTTGGTCAAAGGCATTTGGAAACTTGACAGGCTTTGGAAGCCCAGAAGAACGGTTGGTTCAAGGAGGAGATCGTCCCTGTGACCATTGAGAGCAAGCAGAAGGACGGACATGACCGTCCCAGTGCGTGTGGAGCGAAGTAGGTGCATAGGAACAGTGTGAAGAAGAGCGACAGTTTGATGAGCAGAGGATGTCAAAAGGATCACACGAGCAGTTGTATGTTCCAAGGAACCAACATTTTGACATGTTGGAGGCCATTGCTATTGGGCTGGAGGCCATCGCTATTCTTAGGGTCTTAGGGAGGGTCTCATCTTTTTCTACAGTCTTTGTACCGTGGTCACCCGAGCCAGCCGGCACGGCGGTCGGTGCCACCGCAGGACGGCAGCGTGAAGAAGGTGGTGGTGGACAAGGACGAGGGCCCACGTGCGGGCACCACGCGTGAGAGCTTGGCCAAGCTGAAGCCAGCCTCTTGGCACACTTGGGGGAGTTATTAGCTCGGAGAAAGCAGGAGGAGTTGCACAGAAAAGACAGAGATCTTGAACCAGTGCTGGGTCAGGCTGCAAAACTTGAGCATGCAGGTCATTTTGTTCGTTCACTGTCAGATCTTCCACATCATTCCTTCCAACTTTCATTCTTTAAAGCTTATCTTTCAAGGGATAAACAAAATCAATAGTTTGTTTTCTTTTTTTTTTTTTAATTGTGTCCTTTTTCCCGAATGCGTAGCGAAGGGTTCTCGTTTAACTCTTGGGGGTCTGGGGGTAGAGTCTTGTTCGCGATCCGTTGTTTCTATGTTCGCAACCGTCCGCAACCGTTCGCAACCGTTCGCAACCGTTCGCAGTAGGACGCTAAGGCGCTGCCATTGGGGGAAGCTTTTGCAAGTGACTTTTCATGGATGTGTCCCGTGTCAGTTTGCGACGCTATTCCATTGTGTTTTGCATGAGAATGACATGTCGCGCAAGAAGCGTGATGCGTTTCGCTGCACAGGCGCAGTGGTTTGAGAGATCCGCAGTTTACTGCGCAGTTCCATTGGGATTAGCGTTTGGAGAGTCGTGTTTTTGGAGTGTTGGATGTGGGTGTGCCATTGGGATTTGCATTTCAGGGTGTGGCCTCGAGGCTCTGTTTTCGTGACAAGTCTCAGCTGAAGTGGCGATTTTGGTGGATGGGAGTGTGCTCAGAACGGGTCGAAATCATTCTAAACGTGAGGTGTGGTGCAAATTTTGTTGAAGCTCACGTGAGATGATATTCTCACTTTTCGTGGCAGGCACAGTACTTTGTGCTGATTTTGAGGTGTGGAAGTATGATTTTCGTGGCAGGCGCAGGAAATCGTGAGGTTGCGAGGTGTGACGGAGGTGACATTTCGTGGCAGACGCAGTACTTTGTGCGCGTTAGACGTGTGGATGCGGAAAGATTCGTAGCAGGCGCAGGGAATCGTGAGGTCGTGAGTTATGGTAGAGGTGAATGTGGCTGTCACATTGGGATTGGCGTGTGAGCGGGTGTCGTTTGGAGGGGCTGGAATCGCGAAATTGCTTGGCAGGGCTGCGTGATGTGTGTGCTCCGATGGGTGTTTCCGCTGGACTTTTGGAGGAAGTCTCGTGCGAAACGCTCGTTTTTGAGACTTGACGCGTGACTTTTGGAGGAAGTCTCGTACGAAACGCTCGTCTTGCAGCCTCGCAGCGTGACTTTTGGAGGAAGTCTTGTACGAAACGCTCGTTTTGGAGACTTGACGTGTGACTTTTGGAGGAAGTCTCGTACGAAACGCTCGTTTTTGAGACTTGACGCGTGACTTTTGGAGGAAGTCTCGTACGAAACGCTCGTCTTGCAGCCTCGCAGCGTGACTTTTGGACTAAGTCTCGTACGAAGAGTGTGCCCTACAGGAGTGTCCCACAAGAGTGTCCTACAAGAGTGTCCCACAAGAGTGTCCTACAAGAGTATCCCACAAGAGTTTCCTACGAGAGTGTCTCACAAGAGTGTCCCACAAGAGTCTGCTACAAGAGTGTCCCACAAGAGTGTCCCGTATGAGTGTCCCACAAGT